CCACTTGATTAAAACACGTGAAGAACACGTGATCTATACTTGAAAGTTAATAAATCAACGGAAACGGTAACAATATAAATAAGAAGATCTTAACTAATTAAAATATAAACATGTGTTTTCAAAATTATCCAATAAGATTAAATGATAATTTTAACTAATAATTAATGTGAAATTCCATTATACAACAATATAGATTATATATTTAGATAATATTAGATGATCTATATTTATATTAGATCACAAGACAAGTAAATAAGTGAGTGATCAAGCGAGTAAACAAGTGAGCAAGCAAGTAATCAAGTGAGCAAATAAGTAATTTTCTTGTAAATATCATTGGTAGTTTGATTTAACAATTTTATATAAAAGAAATATATATTTTAGCTTAGAAAAAGTTATTTAGTCAAGTTCTAAATATTAATGACTCAAAAATAAACTTCTTTAATAATAATACCTTTTTGAAATTAATATATTTAGAATATTTAAATATTCCTTTTATTATTTTATTATTTAAATTTTTAAAGTTTTATTTTAGTTTTGTTATAATCTCTCACATATTTGTGATATTATATTTATAATTTCTTACATGTTTGTAATGCTATGTTGATGACCTCTTACACATTTGTAATATTATATTTATAGTTGATCTCTTACATATTTGTGATGTCATATTATTGAAATGATTTAATAAATTAAATTTATAATATTTTACTTGTCTATAAATCATTGTCATAATTATCTTATTAAATATATATTAAATTATAAGAAGATTTCTTAAATCACTTTTTAGCTGACTAGTAATTTAATGAATACACATTACTATTATTAGTTATTTATTTTATTTCTTCTATCTGACTTGAAATATGTGTTGAGCACATAAAAATATATATTATATTTAAAATCCAAGTAAAACAATAATAATATTAAATTAAAATCTATAATATAATATTTATAAACTAAATTTCATATAATTCAAATAAATTCAGATTATAACATATTTCTCTTCTTTAAGAAATGAACTTCTACAAAATTCAGAATAATATTTGTCAAGCAAAATTATTGAGAAGAAGTATTTAATCTTTCTTAAGTGAGATGATGACTTCATACTGAGTTTTTTTGTACTTATTGATAATATGTAAATATTTTTTTAAAGCAAATCAAAAGTGATATTTTTAACAAGAACTTTATTTATTTTCTTTTTCAAATAAAGATAATTTATTGATCTAATTCTTGTTATTTTTCAATTTTAAAGCATGAAGATCAAAATCTTATTTATGTAAATATTCATAAAGATCATTAAAAATAAAAATTTCAATTTCATAAAATTAAAGAAGTAAAATATATATTTGAGTTTTTGATGAATTTGAAGCAAATATTAATAGTTGAAAAAGGAAGAGATTGCATGTTATCTTGATCTTGATCATAACTGAGTTTGTAATTGAGCTAAAATATTTGATTATAGTTTGTATTTCTTGGTAAAAGTTCACATGTGCTTGAATATTTAGATTCAGATATACTGTTACCATTTTGAGCTTTTGCGTATAAAAGTATTTCAAAATGATAACAGTGACTGTATTCATGATAATTTACTTTGAATATTATAACTGAATAATATTTATGATAATAAATAATGTTTTTTGACAAGATAAAAGGTGACAAAGATAAGACTAAACTAATAATAAGACTAAACTAAAGGTAAACTTAACCAAAAATTACTTAAAATTCCAAAAATAAATTAATTTAACATGTCAAACTTGATATTAAACCAAAAGAAACTCAAAACCAAAACTTAAGAACTTAAATCAAACTGAAAGAACTTGAGAACTTAATACTAGAACTGAAGAACTTGATTTTTATTAATTATCAGCACTTGTATTTATACATATTTTCATGTTACAGTGGCACAGTGTGGCACAGTAATGCGCAGTATGGTGCAGTGTGGTGCAGTTATGACGCAGCATGTGGCACAGGACCAGTTTTACCAACCCAAATTTCAAATTTTCTAATTTGGATTAGTTACCCTAATTTGGCAATACAAGCCACAAGCCACAAAATACCTCTGAGTAGTGCTAAACACTCACATGATTTATCACATGTATGACGTAAAATGTCACAATATGCGCAATATGTATGTGGTAAAGTAACTTTGAAATCCTCACTTGGGCTATTCTGTTACGACTTCTGGGCAGTCCGCGATGATGTGAGAGAGATTTCTTCCCCGCGGATAATTTATGCTATTGTCGTGAATTTCCCCAAATTCGGGTCAATTTTTAAAGCTTCGAGTCACGCTTATTATGAGTTTTATTACATCAGTTACTTATCACCATGGTCAGTTACATCGCTTTCACACCTAACTTCCAAGTTGTTCTGGATCATTGTTGTCCATAGTGTGGTTATGTCGGATGAGTAGTTCTGTGGGTTGGGGGGATTTCGCTTCGGAGAGAGATAATTTCGCGAGAGTTACTAGATTCGAGCTGGAAAACGTTAGAAATGTCGCAGCTTCTAATGTTCTTCGCTTTGTTGGTTGACTCCTTCCATTACTTCTGTCAGCATCGAGTAACTATGCGTTATAT